GGAGGGGGGGCGGAGTTCATTCCTAAAATGGCGTGGTTTTTTTAATAGCAAGATAACGCGAAAGATGATGGATTATTTCGATACTGCACCAACTAAGTTTCTTTTTATTCCGGGAAAAATTTCCATGACAGAGATTGAGGATACTGTTTTTTTTTTTGGTTGGACTTCGAATTCTTCGACCTTTCGAAGGAGTAGGGTCGTGGCATAAATTAACTCAGTTTGATTTTACCGGCGGGACGATAATTACGTTGCGGTCGTGTCTCGTACGCAGTTAATAATCAATTAACGATATATTGATGAAATTGGAATCGGTTTTCGAAAGATAATTCTCTTATGTGAACTTACGGATTTTTAAGGAGAATCAGTTCAGAAAAATATAATGGCAAACTCGTCAGGAAGGAACATCGGCTCCAGAAATATTGTTGACTTTTTACAGTTTTGCAAGTAATTTTTGTTCGTTTGGATGTTATGAACATTGGTTGTAATGGGGCAAGATTTTGAACGCAGGCATTACGAAGCAAAGGCTTGGTACTCTTTTATTAAGTAATTGAAGAATCTTGGAATTCATAATGTGATTCTTTTTTTCTTACATTTGTAGTGAAAGGAAACTTTGATAAATTAAAGAGTTAGATTTAGATTCTTGCATTTCAGAAATTATTTTTTATCCTCTTAACATTCTGTATCAGTAGGATATTTAGTGAGTATGCTTTGAAGTATCGTTAACTCTGGTATTTGTATTGATAATGATTCTTTTCCTTTTTGTCCAGGAACGCTCAAAGAATCTCAAGGAAATTGTGAACGTAGCTGATAAAGTAATCAGCATGGTAAGGTTTTTTTTCTTGACGAAATAATAATATTTTGTAGGGAGATTTCAGTACCATCATCAGGGCACAAAGTTAACTTTTAAACCTACCAGCAAAACCTTGCTAGGAAGTTTTCTTGTTACTCAGTCCTTCAATTTCTGGACTTTGGTCATACTCCCAAAACTTGGCTAGTTCAATTTTTTCTTACTAGCTAAATACAAAATTTCACTCGCATTTTGGGAGTTTGCTTGCGAGCGTTAATTTCGTTCCCTGATCACAGATATTCTTATTTCTTTTTTTTGTATTTCTGTACCCTGCAAGTTTCATACAACGTGCTGATACTTTCTGCTGTTACGCTTGTAATGGAAACTTGTAGTATCAGCGTTTTGCCAGGCAAGCTTTTCTGTATTTTGCGCATTGAGAAATCCTCTAAAAAATCTGACCAAGAGAAATGCAGTATGCTGGACGAGATTCTTGATTCTTTACAAAAAATTGGCTCTCATCTATTTTTCGCAATATCAAGATTGAACAGTTTTAACCAGAAGCTTAACTTATTGTGTTCGAGAATACCATTCTTAGCTAGACCCTACCCATCTACTCTGCTTAATTAAGACAAAAATCATCTACACCTCGAGGGGTTTTCTTTCTTTATTGATTCCAGATCGACCGAGTGGAGTTGTCCAGCTATTATGGAATGAAATCTGATACTAGGATCGACGCGGCAGCAATTCGAAGGTAACGGACGTAGCGCAGTACTGTATCAAAGTGAACCCGAGTCCTTGCAAAATCAGGATTCTGGAACGAAGGAATTTGCATTCAGACTCTTGGATTTAAGATTCTGGATTTTTTTAATATTTTCTATTTTTAATGTAATTTTTTAATTTAATTTTCTAAATTTTTAAAAATAATAATTTTTTGATTTCGGATTTAAAAATACCTTAGCCATAAGCGCAAAAGCTAATTTCATAAAATTGTCAATTTGTTGAAAAATTCGTCCCCAAAACTAAAGAAAGCAGCCGTTACTGGACTATTTGTCAAGAAATAACTGGAACAGTTATAACTCGTTTAGATAATGAACGCACGAACAGCGCGCGGTCTCTCTTGTATTGTGAGTATTTCCCCCCACATGTGCACACCCTGTTATCGAGCTAATACATCAGGGTAAACACTTGAATGGTACATAATAACTTTAGAACTTAAATAAATAACAAATTCTTCATATACAGGAGAGGTAATCTAAATGAAATAATCGTCAATAATCTTGAGAAATTTCATTTTTTTGTGGCTCTTGTTTGACCTTCAAATCAAACATTTTAGAGACGAGAAAAAGATTAAGAAAAAAATTGATGAAATGACGAATTTATTAATATTCGAGGACTGAATCTGAAAAATTTATAATTCTTTAATTTTTTATTCTTTTCCTCAGTGAGAAAGACTCGGAGAAAAACGCGTTAATCGATGCTCTAGCGCGTAAGGTAAGTGTTCGAAGATGTTACCTTTTGTGCGTTCTTCAAACCTCCTTGTACGAAATAGCTACTCCCTCGACCAATCTGTCTCAAGGCAGTGGATTCCACAGAGTGGAAAATATTACGTATTTTAAGATATTATTCTTACCGTTATTCATGATGTTGTGTTCGTCTTGCCACAGGGATGTGCCTTAGCAGATCAGCTACTAACACCATTCGAAGGTAGGAAAAGAATGCCTAATTACTAGTACAACATTAAATAAACTACTTAGAATAACAAGGCGGGGCTGGGATCCTCGTATACTGGCTTCCTAGTGGCTGGTCAAACGAAGCAATAGAGTTTTGTAATTGGTGCTTGTTTTAACATCACTTTCCTATTAAAGCAAGGTTACAATGACTGGTCGTCGTGTTGGGTTCATAACGCATCATATTCCCCTTAGATAGCTATGTAGTATAGACCCCTTGCATTGAATTCCTAGAGGAATTGTTCTGGGGGACTAAACAATAGGCCATCTTTTCTTATGCAAAAAAATCCATTGTTTTGTCCCCCAGAACAATTCCTCTAGGGACTCACTGCAAGGGGTCAATTTAGTGTAAGGTGAGGTATAGATAAGTTTATTTAACGAAAGTTTTTTTTCTTCACAAAAAGGTTGAAGTACAAAATTATCGTTTGATCGTCTTAGGCCCTGGCTAAATGTTTCCTAAGGTGGCAAAACTGTCAGGAAATATCGGGAAGCAATGTTTCCATGCGTCTTGGAAACATGAAATGTTTTTGCCGCACAGCAAAAACATTTTTTGCGTCTTGGAAGCAAAATTTGTTAGTGCACGCAGCAATGTTTCGCATGTGGCTAAACTGGGAAACATCGAGGAAACATGCGCGCAATAAACATGTTTCCTCGTTTAGCCAGGGCCTTATTTCTCTAAAATTTTTCGTCTCCTTTTTCACCCGTTATAACCCGCGAAATGTATGCGCAATTCTCACGTTGGCGAATTCATCGGCTGTTTATCGGGGGAAGGGGTGGTCCTGCTGCAATATTTTCTATTTTATCGTCCATTTTAACTGAAAACAAAATCATATATCTACATCGAACCGCAATACATTTTTTCTTGCTCAAAAATTCACCGCCGGAAACAATGAAAACTGTAGCTATCACTAACACTAGAGAGTTTATGAACTATATATTCAATATATTTGTACTGCAGTTTATAGTCCAGTTGTAATGTATAAGTGAGCTGATCATGGGTTCAAATCCCGTTCAAGGCTGAGAATTTTCTGAGCCTTAAAATTTGCAGCTGTATAAGTTCCTTGATTATACTGTGAAGATCAGCTCACTTAGATACAATTAAGAGTGAGTTTAACAACTTAAACCTCAATGAGTCAACACCATTCTTAAACAACTATCGTCACTTGGTATCTTAAATGTTGCGCGGTTCAGTGAAGTTATTTTACGCCTTTTTAAGATAAAGAGACTTCTGGAGAAACAAGCGAAGAAGAGACGAAAACACTTCAAACCAGCCAACATAATTTAGGTATGAATACTGATTTCATTTTTATTACCCAATGAATCATTGAATTGTCAAGGTATGCTACGACAAACTCATTACAAAGATATTTTAGTCTTAGAGGTTTATTCCGTGAGTTCATCCTCAGTTTTTTAGACTCTGAGCAGTTTGCTATCTTTTCTTGGCACCTTTACGCGCGAAGAGACCAACTCAGTCAGGTTTGTCTTGCATTTTTCCAAAGCACGCAACTCTGGTGGGATCTGTGGCTCTCGTTCCATGGTGAAATTTAGATATTTATTCATTTGTAAAACTTTAGCCAGCTTATAAGATAATAATAAAGCAAACGAACAAACGGAGGACAGAGAAAGATGTCTCCTGGAACTAATGTTCCTTTAGTATTTTCTTGAGATTTTAGTGATATTGAAAATTGAGTCAAAACATTGTACAGCGCTTGGGCTTCATAGGAAAAGCACTTTATAGATAAAGTTTATTATTATTATTATTATTATTATTATTATTATTATTATTAAGAAAATAAATAAAAAACTGTGACTAAAAATCCTCCAAGCACAGGAGAGAGGCAACAAACAAGTCGACTCGTCACATGTTATTACGATTCTGAGAATCTCCATAGCAATCACCCAATATCGCAAGAGCCTTCCCTTGAGTTACCGTTCGCTGATATCATTTATTCTCTCTTTCCTAATTTACTGTTCGTCTATTTACATTCACAGTAAAGGCCTTACAAGAGACGCATTCAGAGATCCTCAAATGGATCGATGCATCTGATTCCAAGGTCAGTACAGTCTATACATTCCAAAAATCCTCACTCCATATTCCATGATCTACATTTTCTTTTCCCTGCTTTCCTGCACGTAAAAAGCCAAAAAGTACATTTTAATTGTAATGCTATAGCAATAGCATAAGAAATAGAATTTGAGAAGAAGTTTTATCAGCTTTAAGTGGTGAGGATTAAATACGAATGATAATTATGCGGCCTGAAGGGATGTAGTCTTGTGAGACGAACTGTTACTAATGACCGGGTTTCCTGAATTCACTTTATCTTGATAATATCAACAGACCTTGTTTGTTTTGTGTCAACAGTGACAGAAGTGTTTTTGTCGCTTCTCTGTGCTTGCCTGGTAGCGAAAGGGTCGTAGTACCAACCTCATTTGTTTATTATCAAACTTTGCTTTAAATACCTTTAAAACGAAGCACTGAGCGAGAGTTGTACAAGCAGTTGCTTTGTAGCTGAGTGAGAACTAGGTTCTACCATCGGAGTAACTTTTTACCCTTTTAAAGTTCCATTTTGAGAAAAAATCATAAGATAACTGAATATGAGACTGTTGGAAAATATACAATAGAACAAAAGAATTGAATTCAAATTTAAAATGTCGAATCTTATTCTTATTAAGAACGCTTTGCCCTTGATTTTGCTTCCCTGAAGGCTTAGATGTAAGGGGTTGAGTGATCGCAAGAAAAAAAATCACTATTATCTTTTGGGGAAATAAATTAAATTATGGGTCAGTTTGTGTTTTTCTAAATGTAAATACCCTCTTACATACATGCATTTATTACAACATTAGCGTCGCTTTAATGGTTTATTGTGGTATTTTAATACTTTAACAGATTAAAATCTGTTTCTTACACTTTACTTTTCTCTTCTGATTATCGCTGAAAGGAGAAGATACGAAGAGAACAAAAAATAGAAACAGTTCTTTTTTTATCATTTAATTCTGAAAAAAATTGATTTTATTTTGATTTCTTGGTGAGAGTTTCAAAACCACCCTTGGCCTAAAATGCATCGCAACGGTTCTGCATCATTGTTCAAGTTCTTCCCTCATGGCGGGCATAATTTAATTTAGAATTATCATAAATTATAGAACTAGTAGAACAAAGCAGTGGAAATTAGTGAAGTTAAAAAACGTTTTAAAAAGTACTGTTTTAACTCATCTAATTTACAAATCGACACATCTAAGAGAGACGTTCCATATCAGAGATCTCCGAAATACTTCCAAACTAGATGAACAGCTACATTAGAAAACCTTCTCGAAAACGAAAAAAATTAATAGAAGATCTTTTAAACGATTTTATGAGTAATTATGTTGATACATCCTCGATGTCAATTAACGATCGACAAAAGTCCTTTAACTTTAGCGCCGTAATTTTGGCGGGAAGTTTACGCGGCAAATTATAGATATTTCACAGCTGATTGGGGATTTAAGCGCCGTTTCACGTCAGTACCTTTGTAAATGAAAATATATTTCAAACAGCACTGGACCAAAGATAAAGTAAATCTTTACTAGCAAGGATGATTTTTAATATTCAAATTGTCATCCAGTTTAATGTCCGTCGTTATTTATTTATTCATTCTTTCATTTATATTTTTAACGAGGAAGGGTTATTTTTGTTCCAAGAGATGTAATTTAGAGAGTGGAACTCGAAAAGCAATTTAGAAACAAACACCGTTTCTCCTTTGGAAATTAACTTCCAAAATAATCGTTTGAACTCGAGGGATTTTGAAAGTTCTCCAGTCGACACTAATATAAAGAGATGTCTTCGCTGTTTGACTAATTGAGAGAGTTTTGTTGACATTAAGATAAAAAAGAAATGAATTATAGGTTTGCTGGAAGCTTCGTGTGATTTATTGAACCATGAATATAAACAGTTCCCAAAAAAAACACATAGAAGTGCTGAAGCTTGACAAACTCGTTAAAACCCATTCAACCACTATCAAACTATTAGTAGGAATTAAACTTCTGAAGACTCGAAAAATATGAAAATAAGATTTAAATGAAGAAGTTGTTTTGAATCTTAAATAATAGGGAAACATTTTGTTTTTAGCAGATATCTCAATGGACATTCGTTATGTAAATAGGAAAACATTATTCGCTCGTCTTAGTACGGGGTCTAGACAAGTCAGGGCAAGAGTACCATGGTCTCTTGGTTAGGATTATAATCTTCAGCAACAGGGATAGTTGCATTGGGAAATAAGTCTATATAGGACTCCTAAATTGATTCCCAAATCTTAACAAAATTATAATAATCTATTTATATGTAGGTTTATTTATTTTTGCTTCTAGAAGTGTTGGACATTAAGTTTTAATAAATATCCTATGCGCGTATAAACAGTATAAAAAAGGCTCATTTCAGTGTTAGACTGGTTCAAACTGCGCATATTAGAAGAAGATAGTGACAGGATTCTCGCATAAGTTCTCTACGGCGATACTTCATGTGACATAAGCCTTTGCTACTCTTGTGGGAACTAGAGATCGACTGGCTGGTGACACAAATCAACTTGTGACGAGATTTTGTAAAAATGGTTGGCATATCATAAAAAAAGGTTTTATTAGTAACCAAGAAGTATCAATTTCTCGTGCCCTTTCTCACCTAAAAATCGAAAGTTTTGAGAAGGGTCTGGGTGCGAGAATGAGAAGTATCACTATAGCAACAATAGTGTCACCAGGATTTCCCATGATGAGGCTCACTCCCCACTAACCTCAACAAATCACCCCTCCCTCCCCTCCCCCCATACAAGTATAAGAATCGCAAGGCCGACACATACCTTGCGTAATTATTTGTTTTGCCAACTTTAGTGTTTTTATCGATTGTTTTAGCTTCTATAACTGATCCTTTTGCTCCAGATATCTGAGTTTCTAGCGAAGAGCTCCGAGGCACAGAGATTGTATGGTTCGGCACTCAAGCTGCTGTTGAAGAACAACTGGGAGGGGACACCAGTCAAAGCAAGTGACGAGAAGATCATTGAGGTATTTATCTCTCATATGTATGGAAAAAATTCCCGGTCTTGTCAGAAACGAGTTACTGAGGCCCCGTCCACGCGTATCCGGAAATTTTTGTATCCGCAATTTTTTTTTTTGCGGATACAGGTTGCGTCCACGCGTGTCCGGGAATTTTATTATCCGTATCCGGAAATTTTCGAAAACGGTCTCCAAAGTGGAAATTTTCAAATACGCTCCGAATACGGATACGTGTGGAAGGTCGTATCCGCAAATTTTCGAATACGCTGGCGTAAACACGATTTTGCGCATGCTCAATAAGAAAAACCATCCGTCAAAGGGACTAGGCACTAGCGTGCATCAGGGCGGTTAAAGAAATTTCCTGATACGTGTGGACAGTGAAAACGATTCGAATACGCTGCGTGTGGACGCGAACATTTTCGTATCCGGAAAAAAAAAATTCCGGATACGTGTAGACGGGGCCTGAGTTATTTGCTCTACTGCAGCAATATTTCGAAAACTTGCTATTTCTTATCCTTTCATCCCGATTTCAGTTCCTTTATTCACCGGCTTCAGCTTCAAGTAGCCCTGCTTTTTCTTCTATATCTTGAAATTCACTTTTGAATTCTCGTTTCGTCTTTAATATTCTTTTGAATTTTTCCTTTCATTTTTCCACTGTGTTTTTATTTTAGGCTTATTTGTTTGATATCCTGGAATTCACTTTTNTTCTTTTGAATTTTTCCTTTCATTTTTCCACTGTGTTTTTATTTTAGGCTTATTTGTTTGATATCCTGGAATTCACTTTTGAATTCTTGTTTCGTTTTTAATATTCTTTTGAATTTCCCACTGTTTTAATGAGTGATTTTTGACACTTTTTTCTCGTCAGCTGTGTGAAAAGCTTGGCTGGAACCACTGTATCCGCTTTCTGCGAGAAAGCCTACCCGTCAAGTATCCTCATGATTTTGAACCGTTTTAATGGATCCGCCAGCATCAGCTGAGAAGTCACTACGCCGACTGGAAACAGTTTCCAGCCACGAGAAGACTTATCAGTTAAGCACCTAATTTTTTATGCTCCTATTCACAACAGGATTTTATCTCGTATCAAAGCGAACTGCACCACTCAACAATGTCTATTTTGTTCAAAGGCATTACGCTTTCTCACTCAAAATATTTCTTGTATCATATGTTTTCAAATATTTTATTCGCCTATTCATAAGACAAACCATAGTTTACTATGGAGCTGCTTAACTATGGTCAAATAAAGGATGGTACAAATCTGCACCGCGTAGCATTATGGGGTAGATTTTAGACACGAGATCATTTCCGTCCCACAATTCAATTCGGAAGGAGTTCTTCACCAGTCTTCCTTTGATCTCCACGAGAGACGAATTCAAATAAGTTACGTATTTATCGATTCCTACAAAAATTCGCAGTCCTTTTCACCTTCCTTTTACCCACAACAAACAAATGAGGAAAAATACCAATAAACTAATTCTTCTCCTATTTACACTATTCCTTTCTCAGAGCTGGGCTCTCTTGAAGTAAACTGCGTTAGAGATCTTTCATTTCTTATGCCATTATTAGAATTCTATTGACCCCGCGTGAAGCCTATCAATCAATCCAATAAAGATTTTTATTATCAAAATGTGTCGCTTTATTTCACAAGGTCAATTAATGGATAGACGTGAGCGTCTTTAGAAACGCTAGCGGCCGCGAATCATAAATTAGCTGGGGGAGCATGGGGAAGGGAAAGAAATGACTAAGGTGGATTAGATTCAGAATCTTAGACAGCTGAAATTACCGAGTGGAGAGGTAGAATACTGAAGAGAAAGCAGAGTTTATAAATTTAATATTCCCTTAACTATTAAAATCTTCATTCAATGCTCTTCCTAATGTCAATGTTTCCCCTTTTACTCCCAAGTAGGACTCCAATATTCAAAACGAACGTCAGTATTGTGATTCACTTGTGCTGTGAGAAAATGGTCTTTAATATTTCTCTGTACGACAGGTTATGGTCCCCACGTGACATTCAATTCAAAAGTTTGACCTACGATATATTTTCCTCTTAAAACAACATTTATCTCCAAAAGTCCTTCGGTCAATTAACACAACGACAATGAATAGTTTTCTTGTCGAAACACGTAACTGAATGGATTCATTCTTGAGGTTGTTACGAGTACATCATCATCCACATGTTAAGCTTCTATTGTCATTTCGAGCTCATACAGCAGCAACGACAGGTTGTTTTTTTATTTATTATCACTATTCTCCCATATTCATCAGTAGGTCTTGTGTTCCTTATACATAACCAATCAACCGAGAAACCGGTTTTCAATATGTTGGCCAGCTGGCGCTTTTGTTTCGTGCGCTTTTAAAGTTGGCAAGCTTGCGTGTCGTTGCAACACGACTTCAACACCTATGTAACACTTAAATTCATCTTAAGATGATTTGAACAGCACTGTTCTCGTCTAGTTCTGTTTCTCAGAAATTCGAGTAGATTTTCGTGTGGACGGAATAACATACGATCGCACGCTGTGCCCTTAACGAGCATTGTGATAAGATGAGAGGAGTGTTGTTGTGTGTTCTGATTGGTTAGAGCGAAAGCCATTTAAGAGTCACGATATCGCTATATATAAAACTCTAATTTCGTAACACTGCTCGAATAAATCGTAATATATCTTCTTGAGTAGAAAATATATCATGGTTTTGACGACATATATGCCACATTTATTATTCAAACCTGTGAAAAATTTCTTTTTTCGTGGTGGAATTTCTCGGGTGATTCCAATACTTGAAGAAGAGTCTACCATATTGACACAGCACTTGGTGAAGTTCATTTGACTGGTTTCATGAAGGATTGTTGTTAAGTGTGAAGTATTGCATGGAACTCTCTACATTTCCTTTTATAGATAAACCTTTGTTTAATAAATCAAAGAAAAACAAAAGTCTTAACTTAACTTAAAAGGGTGGTTAAAGATGAATGACTCCTGAAGGACCACGAAATGCATCCATTTTTACTAAAAATCACGCGTTCGGTTCTTTGACTTTTTTAAACTGTAAATGATGAAATCTATTCAAAATCGTTAAAAGTCTTGTTTTATATACATACACTCAATATTTTTCGTAAAGATTACGCGGTAACGAACAATCGAAAGACCATGCAGTTCCTTAGTATCAAAATAGATAAAGAGTGAACCATATAAAACTTAGTTCCAACGTTTTCTAAATGTTATAATATTACTTGGAATAACTGCTCAAAAACTCGTACATTTATCGGTAAAACTGAGTCAATGTGTTTTCACATAATCTAAAAAATGCGTTTTTTTTAAATTTTGTTACTTATGAATTTCAACACAGGAAAAAAACAAGGATGCAAATGAGAGATTACGTTTCACACTTGGGAGATCATCTCATTATTCTGAAGTTTTTCGAGGTTTATCGTCCATAAAATATCTCAAGCAGAAAATCTTAAATGGTTATTAAGCTAATAACGGGGTTTCTTTTGTTCTTGTGAAATAAAATACAAAATATTTCGTAGAAAAGTTATCGTTTCGCGTGAAACCAATTTTTGGCCATTTTTCCCATTGACGAAGATCCAGGGTCAGCGAAAATTTCCCTCCAAATATTTTGAACCAATCAGAACGCGTGATTTTTTTCCCGCGAACGAGGCAGCAAAGTTATGTGAAGAATGCAGCGCACGCGCAGTAATAGAATTGTGGCCACGTGGTTAATGATTGACCAATCAGATTGCAAAATTAAACCCCACCGCGAAAGATCGTTTGTCAAGTCCTCTAGCTCGCTGCAAAAAATATGTCCGCTTGAGTGGAAAACCAACCATATCACCCAACTAAAAGCTCACGAAAGTCATACTTTGCGGCCCCAAAATGGCACCCGAATCATAACTGCAATACTCCAGGGATCCATCTACGAGTCAAAGGCCTTTTGAAGGAGATCGGGTACAAATTCGAAAAATCTGGGCCCTTTGAAGTGACTCGAGTAGTTCAACCTTTGTGGATTGCTGTTGGTTCGTACCTATGAGATCGCTGAGAGTTTAAGCTGTATTTCCTTCACTTTTTTGTGGCGATCTTCCCCAATGTCTAATCCTGGAACTACACTGACTAGTGTGTGGATCGAAGGTAAGAAAGAGGTAGTTTCTTTGGACTACACGTGTCTTGATGACGATTGTGGTGTCGTGAGGGTTTTCGTTATATTCTTCTTGTACCGCATTGTTACTTTGGCTCTCAGCCTAGCACCTCTTATTCACAAGATTAGCAGCCTCTACCTTTCTCCTGCCAGATCTGTCTCTTCAATAACTCCAAGACAACTTATCAAGGTCCTCAGAGCTCTTGGGTTCTTTCTTACATCCATAATCTAACATTTCTTCAATAACAAGAAGTGCTGAATATTCAAATTTCTCGTAGGTCAGCCGAGCCCTGTAAAGGGTACCCCTTCATCGCCGACAAAACGGGTAGTTGGACGAGACGGACATGCAGTGCCAGAAGGCTACATAAAGTTTTATAATTCAGGGATCGATTCGTTAGTAATGGGGGTGAGTATACAAAGATTGATCTTACTTACGCAGTAGCTTTGAACAAGACGTAAAACGAAAGTGGACTCCGCCGTATCCCCGAAGTTTCACCGTTGATTTATAATTCATGCCTGATTCTTAACACTAAAAGCCTTAGGAAGAAAACTATCTGAGGCTCCGAATGATGAAATCCTCAGTAATGTTATGTATGGGGTTTGAATTTATAGCTGATGGGAGATTTAAGCCTGCGCAATGCTTTGAAATTCCATGTTCGTTTCGTGAAATTCTAGCTGGCTTTGTTTGTCTTTCTGGTTTTGGTAGTAGTTTACTCTTGATTGTCTTGCAGGCTGGGATGATTGACAATAATGGACAGATAGAACACACTAAAAATTCTTCGATCACCTTATCCAAGGGTAAGCTATCGGGTGATTGTTTATTGTCTGTTTACAATTTCATTTTTGTTAAGTTAACTTTACTTAACAAACCAACGTACGCTCGAGGGATCTAGATTCTAGAAACCCAATACCAATTAGGAATGTTAAATTCTCATTCGTTTTAATTCTAAACTCGATTAACACCAGCATTATTGCAGATTCTCCCACATTTAAGCATGTTTGTTAACGTCGAAGCAGAAAGTCCTAGTTGCAATTTTGGCAGGAAAAGGCGAACAGAATTGAATCGAGTCTTTGACGATTCATAAATCAAGACAAATGTTTTCTGTTTGTCTTTGATTGGACTTTTTCGAGAAACCTTTCTTACAAAGAAAATAGTGTTGACGCAAAAATCTTCAAGAAGAAAATCAATATATTGTTTATTAGGCCTGTGCATGGCCAACAGGGAAAGATTTCCTTTATTATTATAATTTTTTCTTAACAAGAGGCTTAGCACGGCTTAGTTGAAATAAAGTTAGAGAGCTGATATATATATAGCTGGGTCTCTGTGATATTTGAATAATATATATATATATACAACATTGAATATATATACAATGTGTTTTAAACTATATTAAGATTGCATAACTCAATGACAATATTTAAAAAACCTACATAGATTAAAAAGGTATTTTGGTCCCAGATGCTGAACTTTCAAACCCTTCCAGCTGATAAGCCAAAGACTGATCAAAAGTTTGAAACTTTTAGGATAATTTCATGAGCCTAATTCAACAATACAACAGACCCTGTTGACCTCTGATTTAAATATGATTTTATTCTAAAATGTACTGCATTATAAACTATTCAATCCCACTGTATGTCAAGCTATAACCTGCAGGAGAATACATTCTGCTTTATTAAATGTTCCTTAGAAGTTACATATAAAAATAATACATTCTGTAATGTCAACTAACTTATGAACATATATACTCTAGAATTTAAAAAGCAATATTTTTTTCATTTTTTGTTACTAATCAAGCTAGTAGGAATTAACTAGTTGTTTATGTATATGCATAATGACTTACTACCTTTTTAAAGATTTTGGAAGATGAAAGATTATATGGAGGCATTATGGTAACACAATAACTTATCAATGCTAATTAGGAGACCTTTTCAAACTTCACTTCACTGTACATGAAGAAAGGGTCCCAAGTCAAGGTTGGACTTGATGAATAAAAACAATCAAGGTCTTTCTCAACTTCAAACCATTATTTCATTGTCATCCAAGCAAATTTGTGAGAGGACTATCATACTCTATTAGATTCTGTATTTTTTTTACTGGGGAAGTGGGGATCACTAATAAAAGAAATCAGGTTCAAGAGATAAGGGGCTACACAAAAATATCCAAGTTGCATATCACTTTAGCAACAGGAAAACAAGAGAGGTGCTGTTTTTTTATGCCACATTGGAGAAGGGTGTTGTTTTTCCTCAATAAGAAATGAATATAGTCCCTCCTAGTAGATTGCAATATGAATTAATGAACATGGAGAACTAGGAGCTTATTCTTCGAGAGCATTGCAGTAGGTGAGACTAGGAATAATGCAAAATTGTGTGAGGTCACATCTAGGAATTACATCTACTGTAGACTTCACACTGCTGATAGTGTGTATGCAGTATACAGTCAATTCAAAAAACGTTGTTGTCGACCTGCTCAAGCCTATACGTGACTGGACCAAAAGGAATATGGGTAAAAATCACTGAAGTGATTAAATATTCGTTCTGAATAAATTGTTCCCGCTAGTAATGAGGTAATAATGGCTAGAAACAATCCATAAAATGCATGTCTTTGGGTTTAGGGAAAGAAAAAACAAAGTAGTTATGATTCAGTTCACAATTCCGAAAATATGAAGGCATTAAAAAAAACGTCTACTTCAACACTTCCCGCTCGCCTACAAAGGTTCATGCTGTAAACCAGGCATAACTAGTCAGATAAAATTATGGAGTCAACTCGGCTTCAATGATTGCTACCCAGAGTTCCTTTCGGTTCAGTCGCGTAGGCTTGAGTTGGTCGACAACAACATTTTTTGAATTGACTGTATATCTAAAATACTATCTAGCATTAGTTATAGTTTCTCACAGAAAACAGCCTCAATGTATGATTTCAGCTTAGGTTCCCTAAGGGAAGGCTTATTCACCCGAAGGCCAAAAAAGTTAGAAAATTCATATTATCTTGGGAAAGGATTTTGAAAAAGGTTTTGGTTATGACAATAGTAACAGTCCTATGCCTATAATCAATACAAAGAGCCTTTTGCTTTATCATCAAACTAGTTTGCCTGCAGATAGTATAATAATATAGTTTTAAAAAAAGCTGTATTAACTTTCTTGTTGTCCCCTCTAGCAATCCAGTGTTATACAACCTTGTTAATTACCCAATGTAAACTGATAAATGACAATGGCACACGCCTGTGGTTAAAGTAGCGTGTGTCAGTGTTGTTACAAGCATTAACTCATCTTCAGTTAAGTGCTCTTGCGCACGTCTGATATTATTTTTTCAGTGGGTGGTGTGTTTTCATCTGCAGTAATGTTGCGTCATTGTCAGGTATTTAAGGAAGCACATAGCCCAAATTAGCTCTCTAATCAAAGTTCCTTAAAGAGTGAACAGAAGAAAAGAAGTTTTTCGACATTCATTCGTAAAAGATATCTATGAAACCAAGGCATTATCATTGAAATCAAAGTGAAATGGATCAGAGCTATTGCAATTACGATATGCAAGGATACCAGCCATACCAAACACAGCCATGCAACTTTGACCAAGAAAACGAAACTCCAAAATGGAATCCTAGTTGCATGTATGGTAGCAGTGAAAGACTTGATTGGAACAAATGTGTGTCACAAAACTCATATCCAAACTACGACTATTATCCAATGCATGAAACTTTTTTTCCGGAACCAGTATACCACAACTATGGTAAGTTTGGATAAAGGTTCAGAAAATAGGCGTAGTTTCTAATTTACACTTTTCTAGGGATACTTTTGAAAAACTGTTTTGAGAGTTCTTCCTTTTGAAATAGTTGATTTATACAACAAATTTCTTAGAAACTCCAAAAAACTAAATGAAGTTGACTTAATTTAGTCCTTAGTTTCTATGACTTAATTTCTGTGTTTAACTTTCTTTTATAATTTCATGCTATTGAATAATTCATTGCTATTCATTGCTATTCATTTATATGGTTCTTTTATTGATGTATTTGATTTTCAAAAGAATAATCAGAGATAGAAACAAATGCACTTATATCAGGATTTCTTATTTATTTTTTGTCAACGGTTGCAATGCCAGGTCCATGCTGTGAGTTATGGACCAAGTTTTATCCACTGTGTTATGGCCCAACCAATGCACATAGTGCGCTGGCCATGAAAAAGTGGTGGGGCAACTAGGTTTCATAACTTATATAGGGACAGAGCAAGCAAGGTTAATGAGATATTTATATGGCAAGGGAAACACAAAAATTGGGTTGGTGGTTGGTACCTTAAGTTATGGGCTGCAAATACTCCATCTTAAAGTTCCGTTCAGTGACCACGAATAATAGTTCCAAGTTGAGGTTGGAGTTTCCATGCATGATAAAAAGTATAGTTTTGGTATGCGTGGAAACTCTAGCCTTTTTTTGATATTTCATTCCTTTTCACGACAGTTTAATTTTTTGCTTAAAGCAACAACTTTTAGAAGCTCAAAAATGTCTCTCAACCAGCTCATATCTTATCTGTGTCACGTTTTAGTGTATGTGATGGTTTGATAAACATTAGGTTTTGTTTTAGTAAACAAATGTAAACAACATCCAGGTACCTTAAACTAATCATCAGTGGCAACAGGCCATGACTAGGCTTGCTTACTTAATCATAATTTTACATGTTCTGGAGGTGTGAAGGTGGTGTGAACTACCTCAGAAAAGCTTTTTGCTCTAAAGCTAGTCTCCATAAAACTGTGTCTTTCATAAAATACTTGATCATTATTGTCAATATCAAAGATACTTTAAAGGCTATGTAGTTTTAAAAATATCTTCACAGTTTTTTGATAGACTAGACCAGAAGGTATTCAAATTAGATCAGAAGCGTGCCACTGTTTTAAAATTTATTTTTCTTTGTCCAAACACATGTTCATGCAAACACAGAACCTTAATGATAATTACTAAAACATATGACTTCAAAATCTTACTCTAACTTCCTCAAAAACTCTCAAAATGTGAATGCTGTTAATTGAAGAACACTGGAAGTAATAGTTAATGTGTGGTTTTTATGTTTCAATAAAAGTTAGCATTAAAATAAGGATTGTATAATGACTTCAGCATGTTCTTAACACATGTACATGCAGCTAAATAAATAGCTGATAAATAGTTGTGTTTTCTTTCAACATTGTTTAATGACCCTCTTGCTTGTTAAGCCCATGCAAGGTCTATTATGGGTTAGTTTCTACACACCTTGGCTATCCAGATGATAGAACTAAGAGTTTTGCAGCACATGCAATATATAGACCCCACAGCTTAGAGGTAATATGCTGCAGCATGTGATTCCCCTTGTTTACTATTACTTTATTAACCTATTTTGCCCAAGGAAATACACATGATAAACAAAATTAGTGAAGTAGTATAAAAAAATAGTCAAACACTAGGTAGAATAGATTGGGAACATGAGGAAAAGCACTTGAATAGCTAGTGTGTTGCATTGATGATCATAGAGAATATAGCACTCCCTGGTAAAACACATTTAGTAATTTTACCCATGCTTATATTTTTTTGATGATGCAGGAAAAACACAAATAGTATGTGTTTGTGTTCACACAAATTGTGATGCTAGTTTTGTATTACGTTTTTCATAATCGTCAAGGTCATGATTAAAGACGTTCCTTTGATTTCAGCTCAAGCAACAACCACATTTCCTTCATCAACATCAATGCCTTCTGGAACACCTACAAAAATGTCACCTCTCATCCTCCCCAAAACCAGTAATGCTACGCCTGGTTCTCCTATGGTAAATATATGCCTGCCGAGAAAAGAAATCCAGATGTGGTTACCTCTGTTCTCATTGTTATGCACTGATGGAGACAAAAGTTGTAGGGAAATCGGGCAATGCACTGCCTTCAATCGAATAAATTGCTTGGTACCTTTACATACTATGATTGACGAAAGTGTATTGCCTGATTTCCATACTAGCCAAATTTTGTCTAGATCAGCACATAGCAGTGGTAATAGCTTTGTAGACCTCATTTCATATACAACAGATGTTTAATCTGTAACATTTGGCATTGTTTTCTCATGGATGTACATACAGGCTAGGAAATTAAAGCAAAAAATCATACATTTATATTTCTCCAGAGCAGTCAACTGTACGAAAATATACATTTGGCAATTTATAGATTTGAAATTTATCTTGGGTAAACTTATTGAATGAAATTTTTCACTTGTAGGTCCTTGGATCACCACAGGGTCAACAGGTTATTTCTGTCGGCGGTAGCCCACGAACACCTGCAACAATGATAGCAGCACCAATCATACCCTCACCTTCAAATACATGGCCAAGGTAATAAATAGATCTTTTTATCTTGGGTGTAATGTTTTCCCATTTCAGACCATGTTGCATTCTCTTGAGAGTAAGATTATTTTTTTGAACTGTATCCATATTCTGTGGAACCCTTAAATGAAGAAATATTACTCTAGGGAATATGACACATTGTCCAAAATGGGCAAAAATGCTCAAACTGAAGACATCCATTGCAAATCATTTGAAGATGCAATGTTTTTGTCATTTTCTTGTTTCTTGGGAGAGGTATTTCACTTTTGAAATGTTGAAATGGGTTTTGCATCTCTTTGATCTCAACAAATTATCCTTCCCTTCCCCTTGCCTGAAAATAAGGCTTTCATATCACATAGAAAGGGGCTTCCCAGTTATAATACAACCTCCTGTCTACACCAGTGATCAAGGATTTTTAAGTTAAGTGAGGATTCCTATAAACAATGGAGATTTCCATGTCCTGGGGAAGGGGAAGAGTAAGAAGATGAGTCTCGAACACACCAACTTGTTGAACAAATATAACTCAGACTGAGTGGTTGTTTCTTGTCTGATGTGTTATAAACTTTTAACTGTTTAGGGGCACCCCTGGAAGTGGACGTAAGAGAAGAGGAGAATTTGGAGAAAATGATATCATGGATAGTGCAGAAAGGTGGGTTCTATTTTATTGATGTAGTCCCTATTAATTAAGGACCATATTTTTATGGTATTGGGTAATAAGAACTAGTGTGTTGTCAACGTTTGGGGTATTATATTAGCGTAGGTGTGTGAGCGCTCGCCTCTCATATCATCAATGTGACCCAAGATGAGTTCGAGTCCTGCCAGGTTCGGTGTTGGTTCTCTCCTGTGCTTCGAGGGTTTTCCGGGTTCTCCAGTTTTCCGCCCTCCGCAAAAATCAAGGTTTGTTAGCCACTGGCTATTAACTGCTACCGTCATGAAAAAAGGATGTTTTTTTAAAACAGGAAGATGGTATTTTTCTGTGTCATCTCATTTATTTTTTCTGAGCCATTATAATGCAACTGATGCGAGCCAGTAGTATTACATGGTCATGGTAACCAATCAAATTGTACATTTTGACAGGCGTAAAAGGGGTAAGCGATTACCAAGTGCTGGCAGAGGTCCTGTTGGTGATAAGTCAGGGAAAGGACTTCGGCATTTCTCCATGAAAGTTTGTGAAAAAGTACAGCAGAAAGGAACCACATCTTATAATGAGGTATTTGAATGACTCTTATTGGTCAATATCATGTGAACTCCTAAATTTACTACTATCAACTTGTGCTTTAAATTTTGAATTGTATCCTTTTTTAGGTTGCAGATGAACTTGTTCGTGAATTTAGTGACCCAGAAAAGCATTTGTCTCCTACTGATCAGGTAAGTCAAACTAAAATGAACTGATTGATTGACTGACTAAGTGACAAACTAAGTGATTGTTTGACTGGAATGAATGAATGAATGAATAGCTGACTGACTGAAGGCTGGCTGGCTG